TCTCTCTCTCTCTCTCTCTCTCTCTCTCTCTCTCTCTCTCTCTCTCTTGCGGGCGGAAGCAATTTGCTGGCTGCTTTCCTCGCTTCGGACGCGAACTGCACGAAATTGGGCCAATTACTCAGAGTTTTTCAGCGATTACTATAACGACCGCGAAGCGTGGACCACTGAGAGAAATTAACCAGTCGAAAAATCGGAAGAACGTGCGTGTACTCGGCAAGTGCCGAGTTTAGGGGTCCAATTTTTCCGCACGGCAAATTTATTCGCGCGCGCTTTAATCTCATTGCACTCGACCAGTGTCGGCAAAATACGTATTCTGTGATCGAAATCTTTTTAAATAGTTCGTAGACACTGATGAGAGGTCGGTGCAGCCGCGAATTGGCAGTTACAAAGTCTTGGTCGGTGGCTATTCAGCGCGCCGGACAACCGCGCGACGGCCGTGCCCTATTTCGACTTTATGTCTCCCTTACTTCCGGTCTGATTCGCCCGGTATATATACGCGAAGGTTAACCGAAAGGAGAGACTTCGTTCTTCGGGCTTCTTGTGCGCCAACGAGATTTTCCTCCTCCACGTTCAATAGATACCGCTGCAGAATGATAGGAACGGAATTGATGCTCCCTTCCCTCCCATCGCACTATGTCCCGCCGTAAGTTCTCTTGCGGATCCGCTCGCAAACGCAATTTTACCGGCGAGGAAGACCGCGTTTTTCTATGCGCGTCTATGTACGTAGATTTTTTCCAAGTTAGTCTTTTCCAAGAAAGTTAAAATTAAAATGGGATACGACCTACGATGTCCAATAATATTAGATGCAAGACACCGCACCATTTTGCGCTCGACGTATCTTTTAACTAACACGTTGATCTAATTTCTCTCCCGAACAAGATCGAATTCTTAAAAATTAACTTTGATTAAAAAATTAAAAATGACGTACGTCTTGTTTTCAAAAACTGTTGGTCTTTGAAATATAAGAAGAACGATTTTATTACTTGGGATCCAGTGACTATATATACCAGTCGATCACTTTCATAATGAGCCACGCGTCACCCTAACCTTTTTATTAAATAAATTGAAAATATAATCTTTCCCACGTCTCGAAGACTTCGCGAAAGAAGAACGATATTTGCATAAAAATATTCTTTAAAAATGTTCTTCTAGAGATTATGTATGTTTTCTTTTTCTTTGCGGTACGAGCGCATCTCGCGTGAGGATTATCGGGATTAAACGTTTTCCGTCGTTGCACGCTGTCTATAAAAAAAAAGTATCCGGTGATTTCGCTCGTAATATCGGGCGCTGCGCAGATATCGCGAATCAGATATATCGCGCGCTGTGCAATGCGAAGGCGGAAAAATGAAAAGGAAAAGCTAACGGCGGACACCGCGGTTGCAGCAATGAACGCGGACGAACGAGCGGTTCTCCATCGCGCGACGCGCGTTTTGCGACGACGATTCGCCATAGGATTTCTATTGAATACGGCTTTCCCATCCGAGCTACGCGCTTTCATTCGTTTCTCCGGTCCGCGACATGTGACGTTTGCCGGGATATTTCTTTCCATCCTCGTACATGCACGTCGAACGTTCTCTAC